CCCAGCGGGTCGAGGCAGACGTCGGTGCCGTTGGAGTGGAAGTCGTTGTCGGCGTTGATGTCGATGAAGGAGCCTGTCCTCATGGTGATGTGGGCTTCGATCTCCTCCCGGGCCCGGTCCACGTTCTCGGGCATCCCCGTCACCTCGAAGACGGGCTCTTTGTCTCGGCTGGGGGTGACGATGTACGTGTGCGTCTGCTGCTGGATCCTCTTGATGGTGGCTCCCTTGGGTCCCACCACCAGGCCCTGTCGGCGTTGATGTCGATGAAGGAGCCTGTCCTCATGGTGATGTGGGCTTCGATCTCCTCCCGGGCCCGGTCCACGTTCTCGGGCATCCCCGTCACCTCGAAGACGGGCTCTTTGTCTCGGCTGGGGGTGACGATGTACGTGTGCGTCTGCTGCTGGATCCTCTTGATGGTGGCTCCCTTGGGTCCCACCACCAGGCCCACCACCCGGTAGGGGACTCTCACCTGGATGGTGGTCTGCCCCGGCAGATTAGGGGGACCCGGCACGGTGCCCGTCAGCCCGTTGACCTTGTTGCGTGTTGCTCGAATCATGGAGAAGTGTTCGGCGGCCGAGAGAATCTCCCTCTTGGCCATTTCCACATCCTCTTTCCTCCCGGTCACGATGAAGATGGGCTCCTCCCCTCTGACGGGCGTCTTGATGTAGGTGTTGGTTTTAGCACGCAGGGCTTTGATCTTACAGCCTGGGATGGAGGGAGACAGAAAAGCGACACCCGTTAAGTCCCGTGTGTAAGCTGGGAACCAAACGCACCTTGCTGCCCAGGTTGGAAGGAGGGCCGGGAAGCCAACAGACCTGACACGGTGCAACAGTTTCCACTGAATTCACACGCGACCACAGCAGGGAAACCTTTGGAGGGGGAGGCCTCACACGTCCCAGGCAGGAACTTACACCTGAGTGCTGGAGCACGGTAGAGCTAGCCCGAAACACGGCTGCTGGGGCAGGCCCTCTGGACCCCAACCGGGGCTCAGGGCCACCCCACAGATGGCCCCTCCCAGACAGCTCCTTAGGAAGGAGTTCAAATGCAGGAGGGGAACCAAGAGGGAACAGGGGCGTGTGCGGGCGTGCACTGCGTAGAGAGGTGGGGAAAGATGAAGAGTTACAGCAGCTGTAGGCGATGGCCTTCGCCTTGGAGAGAAGGAAACAGGCCCAAGAGTCCCTTTGTCTCGGGGTGAGTTCGAGGAGGTGCAGAGAAGTGACCAGTTTGGTTTTTTAATTCCCAAGGCTTCCTCTATTGGGGCAGCTGACGCCGAGCTCGGAGAAGCACTGAGCTGAGGAAAAGAGCTCTTCCTTGCTGTCTGCACTCCAATGTAGGCGATGGCCTTCGCCTTGGAGAGAAGGAAACAGGCCCAAGAGTCCCTTTGTCTCGGGGTGAGTTCGAGGAGGTGCAGAGAAGTGACCAGTTTGGTTTTTTAATTCCCAAGGCTTCCTCTATTGGGGCAGCTGACGCCGAGCTCGGAGAAGCACTGAGCTGAGGAAAAGAGCTCTTCCTTGCTGTCTGCACTCCAAAAGCATCCCCCCCCCCCCCCACCACACCCCCCCCCCCCCA